TTAACAAGCAACACTGCGCCAATGGAGTACCAGAAGCTCAGATTCACTGTTGCCTGTTGGTGCAGAGAAATATCAGTTGGGTCACAACTCCCAGAAGTGTAATTAATTGACCTGAGTAGGTTTTCGACTGCGAATTCATCGTTCATCTACCAGTCTCTTGTTGCAGGTGGCGTTACACTGGCTTGTCTGCGGAGTTCTAGCCCTGACGTCGGTGGCAGGAGACAACACGAAATGTAAAGAAATTGGGCAGCCGCTTAAGTACTTGTGGGGGGACGCACTAAACGACCCATTGGACTGCATCGGGCCAGATGGCAACCCTTATCCCGCGTGAGTACAGTTTTCGTTATATCCCATTCGCCCCATTTCAAAAAAAGATCAGTCTTTCTGCTCTCCAGTCAGAAATCGCAAGTAATCAGTACACTTACTCCTGGATTTCGTCTTTCTTATTTCATTTGAATTGTCTTGTGTGTGTTTAAAATAAATTAAACATAATGATATTTGAAATTTCTCTGAAATCACAATCAGAGACAAAATCACGATACTTATGATTTGAGGTTTTCACAGCGGCGAGTATGAAGATTTCTGTCTTCTGGGTTGTTGCGCTGTGCGCCCTGATGATGGAGGCAGTATGACCTCTGAAACGTTGGTAAACTTATACCAGAATACACGGCGCAACAACCCAGAAGACAGAAATCTTCAAAATCACAATAGTCCTTTACGTAATACCTGAAAATTCAATGCAGACATCATTCCTGATATTTGTTATGTAATAGCAGACTTATTCTTGAGAAGCTAACAGTCGCTCACCGAATCAATAAGTTTTCTGATTTTTACGGAACCAGTAGGTTCATCACCGTGTTCTCAAGAACGCAAATGGCCTCATCCAGAGCCAAATGAATCCAAACCAAAATCTCTTTAAAGTTAATATCCTTCCATCTACGCCTTGGTCTACCGATTGGTCTTCAGACTTTCCAACTAAAATTTTAAAAGCAATTCCAAATATTTTCCTCAACACTCTGTTCTTAAACACTCTTGATGTGTTCATCCCATAACCTCAAACTAAAATAAAACTTATAACAAAAATTGACAAGTGACAGTAACGAGTGGCAAGTGAGTTTTATATAACTTCTTTTAGTGCCGTGTATATTTAAGAAGTGGGCCACGGTGGTCCAGCGGTTAGAACGCTGGCCTTGTAATCCTGGGGTCTCGGGTTCGATTCCCGGCGGTGCCAGAATTTATAACTTGTGTTGGGCAAGGCCGTGGTCTAGGCAACACGGAGTTTTCCTCCGGGGGCTCCCAACAATTACTCCATTCACACACAGAAGAAGGCAATGGCAAACCACTTCTGGATCATCTGCCAAGAACGTATATGAACAGGTCCCAGTCCGAGAAAAGGATGGAAGGATCCTGTTAATATGGACCTGTCGTCAGACAGAACACTAAATAAATAATAAAAATATTTAAGAATACGAAATAAATCTGAACATCTACTGAATCTCGGAGAAGACCCTCCAATTAGATACACGGCTGAGTCGGCACCTTCTGATGAGTCTAATGGCTGTCGTAATTCGTACCACTGGGCAATACGGCGCCCGGCCAGGAATCCTGCGTACATCGACTTCAAATACAGTGACGTCAGGTAAATAAAGGCGCGTCTCACATGCCGCTGGCTTTTCGGATTCTTTTGCTTCCGGAATGCCAGTGAAGCAGGGCCATCAGAGTCAAAGCCTCGACACTTCACTCCCTAAACCACACGTGTAAGAGCCTTGACACAAGCGAACTAACGCGGAAGTCCTACATGAAAAGATAATAGTTGCTCAGCTGTTCAAGACAATCACTGAAGAAATCTTCATCGCCCTGATGACGGAGGCAGTATGACCTCCGAAACGT